CACGGAAACGACTCCAAAATCTCCTCAAACTCTTGGGGCTCTTCAAAAAAACACGTTTCTTAGCAACTTTGTAGCCTTCTGCTCATTCTGAAGCTTCGTCTGGAGCGTTTTCTCCCCCTTGCAGGTGATCTCCCTTTTGTTGCTTTTCCCTTTTTTTCCCCCCGTTTGGTAGGCTGCTTTTTATCTTGAACTTCTTTGCCTGTGAAATTGCGCCAGTCATTTATAAAATGTATTAGCCGCATTTGGGCGCTTAATGATGTGAGCACTTCCATCAGACAACCCGAAAAGCGGCTTCAAACAAGCAATTAAGGCAAACAACAATGTATTTAAATTTAATCTCCCGCAATCTCCCACAAATGACATATAAAGGTGGCTGCTTCCCCCTCTCGCTGTTCCAGCCTGCTGCTTATGGGTAATTCTGCCAATTCCTCATGTTCCCGTCGAAATGCCGGAATCCGGGTGATTCATTGCGCTGACCTCGCGCGCGTTCCTGTCCTTCAGGACCTGTTTCAGCCGGCGCGGGCGGTAGGGAACGACGCTCCGAGATTCCGTGGGGAATTCGCCGCAGCCCTCGGTTAAGCCGTTCTGCTCCCGTTGGGAAGGAACGAGGGCCTCGTTTCCAGCCTGGAGCTGTCCGGATGCAGCTCCAGCCCGTGGACGTTGTTCCCTTTGGGCACAAGATCCTTCGTGCCGAGGCTCCGTCGCCCCTTAACGATCCTAATTAGGCTAATTAACCGCCTGGAGCTCTGGCTCTTGCTGCAGATCCGTGTCCGGGCGGTTGGGGGGCTCTTCCAAGCAGCAGCTTCATCCCGAGGATGTCCAGGCTCTTTTGCAGGTCCCGCTCCCAGCAGCGCGGCCGCAGATCCATCCAGACCGTCTGGAAAGGGATCTCGGAGCATCCGCCGGGATTCGTGGCCAGGGAGCAGCAGGGGAAGGCTGCCGTGAGCGGGACGGGGCGGTCAGGAGCTTCCAGAACAAAAAGCGATTCCCGGCTGGAAGTTGGAGGGGGCCGAGCGCCGGCTTTGGCTTCGGAAGCGCGTCCTGATCCCGTCCCGGGTTGTCCCATCGCGAGCGGCTCCTTCAGGTGAGCTCGTGTTCCCAAGGAGCTCTCCGGAGTCCATCCGCTCCCTCCGGACATGGAGACCCTGGTCTTCAATCCCTGGGGATGGTTGGATCCAGCCCGGAATGGCCCGAGCTCCCTGGGAATGGCCGTAGCTTCCTTAAGTGCCTAAAACTCCCGTGGGCGGCAGCAGGATCCAGCACTTGGGACACATGGAAAAGAGCTGGACTTCTGTGTCCCTGCTCGGAGCACCAGGAGCTTGTCCCCAGCCCCAGGCTTGTCCCCCCACATTCCTGCCGGGAATCTGCCTTTCCTTGTGCTTCTTTGGGAGCGTCGGGTGCATCCCGAGGAACAAAGGCCTCGGGATCGCACAGGACTTGGTGGCCGTGGGGCCCTTGGCCGCTTTGGGCATCGGGATGGACGCGCGTCGCCTCCAGCCAACGCTGCCGCCATCCCAGAATCCCGGGAGCAGGAGAGGTGGGAGCAGGGCCGGGAAGAGGAGCCTGGACACGATTCCTGCAAAGGCAGGTGTGAAATCCGTGCATTTCTATACACACACGTACGTGTGCATTTTCCTCCTTTTGGACAAAAAGGAGGAATCTTTTCCTTCCGCACATTTCCCTTTGGAGCCCATCGCTGCTTCCCTCCCTCCACACCTAACAGCAGCCCCGTCCTTCTGCACTTTGGGCTTTCCCCCCTCTTTTCCTTTATTCTTCCTGCATTAAAAACGCAGGAAAGAAGGGCAGGAGAGGAGGGAAGCAGCCCCCGAAATAGCCATTCCTGCCCGTTTGGCTGCCGGGCTCCTGTGCCTCCCATTCCCGCCCGCATCCCGGGAGCTTCCGCTCCTCCGGCACAGCGGCTCCGCGGAAGGCGGCGGGCTCGGCCGAGCCGTGACTTTCACCCGGCCAAAAAACGATGATTTCTCTTTTTTTTTCCCCTCCTTTGCGGTTTATTGTATCCTCTTATCTTGTCATATAATAGAAATAATGTTTATGGCGCCGCGGCCTCAGCATCGCTTGGCATTTAACCAACCTCAAAAGCAGTTTATTGCTTTGTATACTCTGCCGCCGTGACCGTTATCCCTTAAATCTCTATTGCTTTATAATATACGAGGCAACAAACGGCCGGGCCGGGGGGCCGGAGCCGAGGTGCGTTTCTGCGGCTCGGATGATCCAAATGGATATGGATTATCCCTCTTGTGGGAGCGCCGGGGCCGAGGAAGGGAAAAGTGACTTTCACCCGGCCCGCCGGCATCTCCTTGTCGCCATTCCCGCTTCCAGGTGGTCACGGAGGCGTCGGGAGCCTCCGGGTGGATGCAGGATCCGCCGTCGGGCCGGGATCGGATCGGGATCGGCTCCGTCGGCGCAGGGAAGGAGTTCGCTCCCTGTCTGCGGCTCCCGCAGTGCCCGAGTATCCGCAGGGGCAGCAGCCCCTTCCGGATAACGGGAATAACACAAAGGATTCGGGATAGAATAGCGGAGCGGTCGGTAGGTGCAGCCATCCCTGCACGGCCGCGTTTGTGTCATTCCCTCCTTTCCTCCCCTTCCCACGGGCCAAAGCGGCGATCCCAAAACATTCCCTGCCCCGAAGCTGCCGGCAGCCGCTTTCCGGCTGGGAGAAGAATCCCGAGGGATCTCTCTGCCCCGCTGCCGCCCCGGGGCCTGCGGGAGCCGCAGGGTTTTCCTTAAGGAATGGGGGCTCCTTCCGCCCGCGGGTTTAACGGGACAGGGAACAACGATGTCCCGGGGAGCCCGAGCCCCGGCAAAGCGCCGGATCCGCGGGAAGCGCTTCCCGGCGCGGATCCGCCCCCGCGAAATA